GTGCTCACATGTAAATATACCAGTTAACTATACTGGTGCTCACATGTGAAGGTGAAGAGGTGACTCTTCAGATTGTGTGTGTGTGTGTGTGTGTGTGTAGTTTAGTGAACATGTGTTCTAGTGTGGTTGTAAATCTGATGCTAATGAAACGTGCACATGCTGCTACTGATACATGTAAAATGTAGATTTGGAGAAAAACATATATTTGCTGCATTCATTGATTTGAAATATATTTACAGTTGAATAAAAAGATAAGTGTTTTTTCTCATTTAATAAAACCTCATGTGGTAAACATGCATGAAACATGTGATTCATCACTTCATGGAACATGTAAACATGATGAACTTGATCACATTTGTAGTAAACATTTGATGTATTAACATGTTTCAGGTAATAAATAAACATGTAATGAAACAGATCCTATTTTGAAGTAAACATTTTATGTAATTAAACATTTCTAGTAACAAACATGATGAACGTTGTGTGATGTAATACATTTTATAGAACAATGTTCAAATATAAGTTAAGAGCATGATTTACATATTTATGTGTCCCTTGAAGCTGCAGCACAAACGTGCTCTGAGAAACATGTTTAAGAAGCTTCGTGCTTTCTGGAGACGTGTTCCTGTTCTGGAGACACACGGACCACAGCCATGTCTTTCTGAGTCCACACGAGGTCACAGTGGTTTGATGATGGACCTGTGCAGAGTATGGATGATGTTTCTTCATCCGATCTGATTCTTGATCTGTCATTATGTTATATTACAAATAAAATATTGACCTTTACCATCTCCACATCATTGCATTCAGTTTTTATTCACAATTTGTTTAGTGTCCCAACTTTTTTGGAATCCGGTTTGTACATATACATTATATATACATTATATATATGTGTATGTATATATATATATAAATATATATATGCATACACACACAAGCACACTCACATATACTATATAGTTTTATATGGGCTGAGATGGTGTAGGGGCAGGGCAGCCGACTCTGGACCTAGAGGTCCTGGGTTTGATCCCTGGTCATTGCACATCTTGTAATGTCTCTGAGCAGGACACCTCATCCCCAGTTGCTCCCCAGGCACCTTCAATGGCCGCCCACAGCTCCGCCTGGTGGTGGATGGGTTAACTGCTGAGAGCCCATGTCATCATTGTATGGGAATATACAATGATGACAATAGATCTACATTATTAATATATATATATATATATATATATATCCTGTACTTTTAATGCTGTCTTTCCTACTAGAGCGACTGAAACTGGTCATGTGATGCCGGCGCCCCGATTCTCTCCAAAGGTGAAAAAAATCTTGAGTCGTAGTCGTCGGTGACATCATCGCCTGCAGAGACGGTAGAAAACATGTAACGTTCTAATGTCGTTGGTGACAACTTCACAGGAAACACGTGAACAACACGCTAGTTTTCCTTGTTTTCACCTCTGACGTTTACACGATTTTACAGGGAAAAATTCACGTGTTTCACATGTTCTAAAACCTCGACACTTCTTTTTCTGTAAAGGATTTAGAGAAAATTATTTATTATTATTAAAGTTAACAAATACTGGTTTTGTGCAAACCAGTATTTTTGTTATATTTATTATTTTTACCTGTGACTTTTTGTATTTTAACGTAACTCTCCGGCTCAACTCCTGGTACAGACATCAAAGTGTTGGTGGGAAAGGTGAAACACCCACACCTGCCTCCACCCTCATTTGCTCCACTCTGGGCCCTTGAGCAAGGCTCTTAACCCCCCAGCTGCTCCCCCGGGCGCCCTACATGCAGCTCCACTCGGAGGCTGCGGCAGCTTCGTGTCTGTGGCCATGTCAGGAAGAACACGTGGTGTCAAAACAATCATGTTAGTTCACTGTGGTGACCCCTGAAGGAGGAGCAGCCGAAAGAAGAAACAAAACTTGAACTGACCTTTATTTTTGTAAATGTGAAAGAAATACTATCGTAAATTTAACAGATAAATAAATAATCCACAAAATACTTTTGAAGTTCAAAACCACACCGGTACTTTTCAGGAGAAAATGTGGAAATAAATACAATTTGGGGGGATTTTAGACACACGGTCATAAAAAAATCAATCTAACATTTAAACTTATTTAATAAATTTAAATGTTTAGCTAAACCTAAATAATTAAAATAAATATAAAAAGAACAATGAAATAAAACTAAACATTTGCTGCAGCGCCCCCTGCTGTCACAACTCAGTTCTTAAGAACCGAGTTGAGATAAAATATAAAGTTTATTTGTTGAAAAATTTAAGTTTAACCTTTAATTTATTGTTAACGATCCTTAAATTGTGTTAAAATCATTAAGTCATAATTTGACACTGAAGCTCGCAGATCCACTTTTAGATTTAGTGTAAATTTTATTAACAAAATTAATTTACAAAAACCAAAAATCTGTGCAAAATAAAGATGTAAAAAAATAATATTAATAAAATTTACCAGAACCAGGAGACGACGCTGAAACCGGTCCAGGTAGCCACGGCTGGTTCTGGTTCAGGATGTTTGGAGTCCACCCGAGACCTTTAAGACTTCATGTTGAGGTAAAGTTTTTAAAAGCTTTGCGCTGCGGTTCTGGTTCTTTCGGGTCATCAGAACAGTTTGGGGAGCTGTCTCAGGCGGCTCAGGTCCAGGAGGTTCCCCACAGACCCCTCCGGCTCTCTGCTGATCCCTCGGACCAACGAGGACCTTCCGTTGGAGCGGTTCTCCTTGTCGCCGGCTAAAAGCTGCATCTTTGGGCGCAGCTCTCGGATCAGCTGACTCTGTGGGAGGAGCTTCACGTTCTGGGAGTCGGTCAGCGGCCGTCGGGCCTCCAGAACCTCCTCCTCTTCCTCCTCCTCGATCAGACCGTATCGCCTCATGTACTTCCTGGTGGCCAGGGACATGTTGCTAGGCGACAGGACGGAGTCTCCAGCAGAGGGGGCGGGGCTGTTGTGGAGGGCGTGGCCTCCCAGGGACAGCCTGCTGAGCTGCGAGTCGGTGAGGTACCGCAGGGCGATGGCGTTGGCCTCCAGGCTCAGGTCCACGCTGCCTCCAGGGAACAGAGCGCTGCCGATCGTCTCGGACGCCGTCAGTCTGGACACGACCGCCGCCGGGTTGATGGTCGCCAACGTGCTGCCGACAAACAGAACAGAACCGGATCAGAACCACTCACCTCGCACCGTTTGGGCCACTGGTTCTATCTGATGGAACAGGCCGATGCAGTGAAAACAGAAGACTGGACCGGGTTTAACCAAGGCGGTACCGGTCACGTGGAAGGTTCTTCAGTACCTGGCGTTCTCCACGGCTTTGATCCGGTCGTCGTCCATCAGGTCCTTTTCGTCTAACGAGACTCCGAGCTGCTGCAGCTGCCGCAGGGTGGCTCGGATCACCGGGTCTCCACCAGAACCTTTCTTCTTCTGTGTCCTTTTGGATGAGGAGCAGGAGGATGAATGGGAGGACTGGGAGTGGTCGGAGACAGACAGACTGCTCCTTCTGGACCTCCCCTCAGCTTCCTGGTTCCGGTCCGACTCCTGAAGACGGCTGTTGAGTAGGGTCTAAGAATGAAAAGAACCACGTCAGTCCTTCAGAACCGCTCGTATCTGCTCCTTCATGGTTGGTCATTACAGATAAGAAGGGTTGTGGTACCATGAGGTTCTGGTAGAAACTCAGATGTTCGTCTGGAGGTCCACACCAGCTGGCACTTTCTCCCAGAACCGGACTCTGCAGACCGCTGAACAGAACACAGCAGAACACCTCAGGATCCGTGAAGTCTCTCCACATGAACACGTCTCAGGTGTTTCGTCTCACCTGTGTGGACCAGACGAGGAGCGCGGCGCCGCCCGGCCCGTGTCGTCACCTTCCTCAGCTCCGCCCACGAGCCTCCTCACAGACCGGTCATGTGATGAAGCCGAGGGGCTCGGGCAGGACGAAGGTGAGGGACTGGGTGGAGATGCGGGGCTCTGTTCCTCCTCCTGATGAAGCGACGGGTCGGGCTCGGTTCCCCAGAACAAACTGGCGCCTAGAAACAGAGGAGCCATGAAGAACCGGTGTGGACCGAGGGGTTCTTTGTGAGCGGTGGATAGGAGGATAGTCTCACCTGTTTCCACGGCGATGCTGGCCGTGCTCCTACAGGTCTGGGTGTCCACCTGCCGGCTGGAGGACTGGAGCCTCCCCTGAGCCTTCAGCAGCATCTGGACCTGCAGACCAACAGGAAACTCCTGAAACATCTACCTGCACGTCAAAGTTCATGCTCAACAATCCAGGTCAAAAATCCAACAAAGTTCAGTCAGGTCATCTGACGGTTTCTTTTTTATTGAAAGATCGACACCCCCCAGTCGACGGGGGAGAGGGCGGGCCCCAGAAACCATCATCATCATCATCATCAAACTGGTTGGTCCACCATGTGAGTGTGCTGCTTGAGGGACTCAGTTTGTTTGTGGCTCCTTGGACTGATGAAGTCCTTTGGATGAAGGATGAAACGTCTAAAAAAAAAATAATAAAAAGAAACCGTCCAGACAGAACGTTGTTGGATCTAAATGTACGCTGAGAAATCACGTGCACGATTTTATCAAAGCAGTTGGACTGAAAAACAAAAAGAAATGTCTCCTAATGTCAAAGAAAGAACATCAGATGGGACATGTAGGGACCTGTAGGGACAGATGGGACGTGTAGGGACCAGTGGGACGTGAAAGGACTGGTTGGACATGTAGGGACAGATGGGACGTGAAGGGACTGGTTGGACCTGTAGGGACAGATGGGACATGTAGGGACATGAAGGGACATGAAGGGACCAGTGGGACGTGAAAGGACTGGTTGGACGTGTAGGGACTGGTTGGACCTGTAGGGACAGATGGGACATGTAGGGACCAGTGGAACGTGTAGGGACCAGTGGGACGTGTAGGGACCAGTGGGACGTGTAGG